CAATCTTAACCGTAAACCATTCATTTAATTTGATGAATATGTGATTTCATATAAAAAATTGATTGTTTACTAATATAAAGTATTGATTATAATTAATAAACCCTAGTTATCTTCCATAAATATTCAAATCATAATAAATGAACTCTCATTATTTTCATAAATATCTCAATTAATTGAGTTGCATTGATTGTACAAATGTAATGAGTTGCATTTGAAACACCCTATATATAGAATCAAATAACTCTTGAATAAGGATAATAAAGTGATCGTGTTTTTTGTATAGTTTTTTATGCTCTAATTTTTATTATGTTCCGTTGGGTTATCTCAATCTAACAGTTTGGGTGAGTTATTTTTTTTCTTAGGTAGTTCTTTTCCGATCTCACCCTTCTATGTAGTAGTGTATATGTGTGTTTGTGTATATACGGACATTTTTTTTATAACTCACAAAATTGTGAGAATCCTAGGAGGTAGGAACCAGTGCACTATATGCTATTTCTTATGATTTATGATACTGATTAACATATATTTGTTTCACAATGTGTTTGTTTCATAATGTGAATTTTTTTACGTGCTTGTGAAACAAAATATACACGTCAAAAGTATCACGTTGTAAACCGCACATATATATAAAGCAAACACGTTGTGAAACAAATATATAAAATATCAGTGTTAGATGAAAAAATAATCATGTGAACAATACCTTAAGATAAAAGTTCTAACGGTTATATAATATATGGGGTTTTCAACTGATCAACCACATATACATACACACACACACGAGTTATATGCAACCTTTTACATTTGTACAACCAATACAACTCAATCTCAATTGTTCATTTAATTTGATGAATATGTGATTTCATATATATATATATATATATATATATATATATTACTGATATTATTTTAAAAAGATATTGAATATGAAGTTTGTAATTTATAACTCCCATATTTATTGAATCTGAATTGTTTAAATTAAGTTTTTTCCCTTTTTTGTATGTAATTTCTTTAGTAAGAAATCAATAGGTAGTAGTAATGTACTAATAACTAAATCCATTCAGACAGTAAAAATCTAACAGGCTGTTGGGACTTTGAATATTTCTCCTAACTTATTCAGAATTTTTAATACAAACATAATGATAAAAAAATGACTTATTCGGTAACCTTTATACAAAAAGCTAAATTTGTTTCTTTAAATTATAAAACACATTCTTTTCATCTATGAAAAATCCTCCAAAACAAAAATTCACTCATTTTATATAAACAGATTAATCCAAACAGTTAGGTGGCGTTTGTTTTTTAAGAAGTTCTGAAGTCTGATTTCACTTCTGAATTTTAAGAGGTGGTACTGCAGTCTGAAATCTGAATCAGTCAGACTATTTGTTTTTACGTCTGAAATCTGAAATCTGAATCAGTCAAGTTTTGGATTTGATAGATTTGGATCGATCTGGGTCATGATTTTACGAAAATATATGGATCGATCTGGGTCGTGATTGATTTGGAGATCGAATGTCTTGCGAGATAGATTTGGAGGACTAAATCTGGAGGTGAGGATGGAGGGGAGAGTCTGGAGGGAGCGATTAAGAGGATTTAAGTGATTATGTTATCACTTTTTTTTCAGATCAAATTACGAGCTTTTCAGCTCTTATTTATATAAAAAAACAAACGGTCTGAAAATAAAAACGTCTGACCGGTTTAGACTTAAGAGGCATTAAGTGGTTTTTTTCAAAAAACAAACAAGTTCTTAATTTTATCCATGTAGAACTTAATTGAAAACCAAACAACAAAGATTTATTTTATTTATAATTAAATATATAAAACAATGTCGAGTTAAATATTATATTCTTTTAACGTGTAATTATATTTTATACTATATACTATATATTATGTTTTACTAAATTTATTAGGTTGTATCTCAATCTATTTCAAATCTTTCTCTCTTTTTATTTTATTTTATGTTTTTCAGTTTTAATTGAAGACCGTCAAACTGTAATATTTTATAACTAATTGTTTAAAATTTCTATAAAATAAATATTGATTTTTAGAACAATACAGATTCAATTCACTAGAAAACTAGCGAGGAGCTAGAAATGCAAGAAGAAACGTCAAGACATGTCCATAAGATTGCATCTTCGATTATCCCAATTACTGGACTCTTGATCCAAATGAATGAATTCGATAACACCTAAGAGACTGTAATACCAACTGATTTCCCCTTGTTGTAGAAGGTAACTGAATTTCGGAGGTTCCAAATGGATAAGCAACAAGCCGCTATAAAAACGTCCAAAATCTGTGCAACATTGGAACTGTTATGCTTCCTTGATTCAGAAGGTCTGAAACCGAGGTAGAGTTGAAGGGGAACTTGCAGCATCACGCCTTGATCAAGGCTCTGGTTTCCTTGCTGGTGGAACAATGGAGAAACAAACGATCTTTAGATTTCGGAGCAACATGACACAATGGACATAAGTCAAAATTAAGAATGACTGCCCTTCTGACCAGATTTGGATTTTTCAGTAGCCTCCCGAGTCTCGCTCTCCACAACAGTAAATTGACTTTAATCGACACCAAGTAGTTTCATTTCCTGCAATGCCCGAGGCTGGTCAAGGATGAGTCATCAATCGACACCAAGTAGTTTCATTTCTCAACTGTTAAACCTTTTTATATGAATTACTCAGTGAGTCGGGTTCATGCGGGCCATGTCGTTCGCGCACCCTTGTATTGACATGTTCTTAATCGTGTGACTTGACCGTGTGCGTAATCGTGTGATTTGATCGTCTTCTTGTTTTTCTTTTTGATCACGTTATCGTTTGATCTCTTCCTGCCCATGTGTATATACATATTTATATAGGGACATGTTCAAATGAGAAGCTAAACATTTTGTGGGAATGCGAGAAGTTTCAATATCATATATGATTACACGCATGATACACAAGCTTAATCGTATATGATTAAATAAATGTTAAATTGACAATATATAGACGTTAAATTATATATGATTAAACATACTCAAAAAATAATAATCATATATGATATTTAAACTTCTCGTAAAATGTTTAACTTTTAGCATGATGCTATAATTAATATATATATATATATATATATATAGAGAGAGAGAGAGAGAGAGAGAGAGAGAGAGAGAGAGAGTATATTTTAAATGCAACAATGTCCATTTGTACAACCAATACAACCCAATTAATTGAGATATTTATGGAAATGATAAAAGTTCATTTATTATAATATGAATATTTATGAAATATGACTAGAGTTCATTAATTATGATCAATACTTTATATTAGGAAACAATCAAAACTTTTATGAAATTAAATATTTATCAAATCAAATAGACGGTTGGGATTGAGTTGTATTGGTTGTACAAATGTAAAAGATTGCATAATAACTCATATATATATATATATATATATATATATATATATATATGGTTGGGTTCATGTGAGACCAAAGATTTTTCGTGAGAACCGTAAGACCAATTTATGTTCATTGATCAACTTTATAAGCTAATGATCTAATGGTCTAAAGTTGCACGGTGACAATTTTATGATTATTGAGAAGTCTCGTGGCAATTTTGTAATTATGAATGTTCAGATTGTAGATCTAATCCAAGGGTTAGAGAATTGGTCTTACGGATCTCACGAAAAATCCATGGTCTCACATGATCCCAAGTATATATATATATATATATATAGAGATATATATATATATATATATATATATATATAGAGGAGCGATCAAATGAAAACCACTCCAATTTGTAAAAACCGTAAAAACTATTCTCATTCGTTGATTTCATTGTTTAATCTTATGAAATATTTTCATGAAATTGTTTAATCTTGTGAAGTTGTTTCATATAATATTTTTTTTTAATGAAGTTGTTTCATATATGGTTATGAAGTTGTTTCATATAATATTTTTTTTTGATGAAGTTGTTTCATATAATTTTTTTTTTGATGAAGTTGTTTCATATATGGCTATGAAATTGTTTCATATATGGTTATGAAATTGTTTCATATACTACTTAATTAAATTTTAATGAAACTGTTTCATGTATTTTTCTAAAATTAAAATAATGAAGATGATAATATCCATGATTAACATCCTCCACAAAAAAAAATTATTAATCAACCTCTCATAATTACAAAAAAAATGAACAAAATGAAAAATAATGATTGGTGGAATGAAGTTTTTACGGTTTTTATAAATTGAGTGGTTTTCATTTGATCGCTCCCTTATATATAGATGAGCGATCAAATGAAAACCACTCTAATTTGTAAAAACCGTACAAATCATCCTCATATGTCGATTTCATTGTTTTAATCTTATGAAATTTTTTCATGAAATTGTTTAATCTTGTGAAATTGTTTCATATAATACTTTTTTTGATGAATTTGTTTCATATATGGTTATGAAATCGTTTCATATGATATATAATGAAATTTTAATGAAACTGTTTCATATATTTCTCTAAAGTTAAAATAATGAAGACGATAATATCAATGATTAACACCCTTCACAATAAAAATGGTTAATCAACCTCTCATAATTACAAAAAAATGAACAAAATAAAAAATTATTATTGGTTGAATGAGATTTTCACGGTTTTTACAAATTGAGTGGTTTTTATTTGGACGTTCCCCTATATATGTCTTCATTATTTTAACTTTAGAGAAATACATGAAACATTTTCATTAAAATTTCATTAAATATTATATGAAACAATTTTATAACTATATATGAAACAAATTCATCAAAAAAAGTATTATATGAAATAATTTCACATGATTAAACAATTTAATGAAAAAATTTCATAAGATTAAATAATGAAATAGACGTATAAAAATGATTTGTACGGTTTATATAAATGAAGGCAGTTTTGATTTGATAGTTCCTCTTCTCTATATAATATATATATATGATGATGATGATGGGCATGGTTGATTTGAACCATAAAAGCATGGTAGAATTCCCTCAACACACAAAGAAAACATATTTCTCTTTCATCCCAGTGAACACATGGCTAAAGTGCGCCTTCCACCATGAAAGAAGAAATCAAGAGAGAGAAGGGAAAAAAGCAATAAAGCAAACTAAATAGTCATATGTTGTCATGGTCATAGCACCAGTTGCCCTTCTGCATTCTCAGACTCACCTTTATGCAGTCCCACCCCAGAAGAGTTAAACACCAATTTCACTGGAATCCCCCATTTACACCTTCATAATTCCCTCAAAAACCCTAAACAACAAACAATACCGGTGGAATTTCATTTCAAACTTCAGTTTTACTATACCTCTTCGTCTCAGATCTGCTGGTGAGCATCTGAATTTGGTCGTTTTGTGGCGTAATTTGTTCTCGATTTTTGTTTGATTTTAGTCGGATTTGGTGAAAATCGAAGGAAATTTGTGTTTGCTTGATGTTATATGCGGATTATGATGCGATTCTAAAGTGGCATTTTATTGATTTGATGATATTTTATCTCTTCTGGCTTTTTTTGTGTTTCCTTGTTGATTTGATTTCATTTTTCAATCGATGATGTGATGCTTTTGTTTTTAATGAGAATAAACTTGATCTGTGGAAGCTTTTGGTTTTTAAAGTTGAAATTTGTTACTCTTTCCAAACACGATATCGCCATTGATGTTAGCTTTTAAAGGTCCAAGGTTTTTCCATTGTGAAAATACTTGCAACAATGAATTCAAATCGATTTTGCAGGTACAGTAATCTGATGTTCAAAAGTAAAAACTCCAATTTTAGGACTGAGTTTAGCAGTAACAATGGGTTAATTTCTTGAGATTTTAGACCATTTTCCATTCAACTATCACTTTTGGATGTGTGATTAATAGCAAAGATCAAAGGTAAATTGGTCTATTTGCCTATTGATGCAACTTCTTTTGGTCCACAAGATTCTCATGATTTGTTTTTATCAAAGGGGGTTTTATGCATTTCATAACAACCAAAGTACAGAGTCAAACACTGCAATTTTCACCAAAAAGGACATACAGATGCACCAGTTTTTGGTTTTTAGAACTTAAATGGTTATTCAGCATTAATGTTGAATCTGAATAATAACCCTTAATTACTTACCATAATCTTCCCTTTTTTCTTGATAAATTGTAGTTATCAATTGTTATTAGCTTTGATGATGCATTAAGGATTCTTTATCTGCTCTATGTTGCTCTGAGTGTTTGTGTTTCATTGGTTCATGATGATATCTTCTCCATTTCGCCCATTTGAATTGCAACAGTTTCTTCTACAAAGTGTTTTGAAGTCAAATTTACGAATTTTTCCATTAGCATTGCTGGAAATAAGTTAATGATGTTGATTTGGTCCCACAAGATTCTTTTCTTTTGTCCTCATTGGAGTGTATTTTGACTATTTTATAGAATTGGAAACACCTTGAATTTCATGTCACAAAGAGAATGAATGTTTTTTGTGCGTTTGGTATGCGGGCGAGGATGCGCCATGACAGAACAAAAGATTTGAAGGACGGGACTGAGTGGGACCAAATTAGGGGGAACAAAAATCATGGAGATGAGACGATACTGGTGAATTACTAACTTAGCCATGTCAAATTCAAATTCTAAAACTTTACAAAATTCATTCCCCGCCTACCCTCGCTCATCTCGTCCTATCTAGTCCTGTCTGCATACCAAACACACCCAAGAATCTGGTTGACTGAGAGGTTCATTATATTGTTTACTCTCTTGCAGGACTGTAATATGAAAAGAGGGTCATTTCATGAAGTATTGTAAGCAGAAATGAGAAGGATTCATGATTCACAAAAGCTTCCAGTTTCAGGGCATATGCCTGAAATTGGTAAGTTACCAAATTCACACTTCAGTTTGGTTAGAGAAGACATGAGTTTTTTGAATGCAGAAAATTTTCAACATTCCACTTTACCCATATCTGTGAGGAAATGGAAAGGGAAAAACTTCTTGCAGGATGATGAGGAGCTTATGCCAGATGTGAACATGTTGAAGGAAACTGATGATTCTTTCGACGAAATTGGTTCCACCTCTTTCTCGGGAGCGAGTCATCCCCCAGAACCTGTTGACACAGATCTAATGAGTCCTGTTTGTGTACCAATCGGTCAAAACAAATCGTCGGAAGGTCAATGCATGATAAAGGGAGTTTCCATAAAGGGTCCGTTCTTAGAAGATCTTTCCATTCGTGTTTCTGGAATCAAACAAAGCCCTGAGAGTTTGACACCATCTTCTCCATTTGCAGTTCCGCGGCCATCACAAAATACCGAAAGCTCTCCCATTCGTCAAGATTCTGATGAAAAGGAGTGTGTTTGGGATGCTTCTTTGCCTCCAAGTGGTAACGTAAGCCCACATAGTAGCATTGATAGTACAGGTGTTGTTACATCCATGAGTACCAGCACGTACCGAATGAGTGATGGAATGCTTAGTGTCGATCGTAATTATGGAATTACAAAAATAACCCTTCGAGGGGAATCCCTTGAAAGCGGAAAAACAAGTATTAGTCGAGCTAGTGATAGTAGTGGCCTTAGTGATGATAGTAACTGGAGCAACTTCACCGGGACCACCAACAAGCCTCATAAAGGAAATGATCCGAGGTGGAAGGCAATTCTTGCCATTCGATCACGAGATGGCCTTTTGGGTATGAGTCATTTTAGGTTGCTTAAACTTCTTGGTTGTGGTGACATTGGTAGCGTTTATCAATCGGAGCTTAGTGGGACCCGTTGCTATTTCGCAATGAAGGTGATGGATAAGGCGTCCCTTGCTAGTAGAAAAAAGTTGTCGAGGGCTCAGACCGAGAGAGATATATTACAATTACTTGATCACCCGTTCTTGCCAACTTTATACACTCATTTTGAAACGGATAGATTCTCGTGTTTGGTCATGGAATATTGTCCTGGAGGCGATCTGCACATGTTGAGGCAACGGCAACCGGGGAAACATTTCTCGGAATACGCAGCAAGGTATGCTTTTCTGGTATTTGTTCTTTGAGCATTCCATCAAATCTTGCATGAAATAGTCGTACCCTATGACATATGCGTTTGATGATCATTGCTAAAATGCAGTGAATGTTGACCATCTTTTTTCATTTGTTCTTGGCTTTTATCGCATACTTGTTATAGTTATGAAATCTTACTCTCTAATAATTGCTTGCGTATCGATGCTGGTTATAGTTATGAAATAACCAAACTAAATCAAGCGAACTTAGTATATTATCCTCGAAAGTAGGATCTGGGGTGGGATGTATGCAGATTTGTCCATTACCCCAAAGGGTAGAGTGTCCCCGTGAAGACACCCCACCTGTGCCAATTATAGCTAAGAAATATTACTCTTAATTGCTTGGTTGTCGATAGTCATGCAATGACTAAATCTTATCCCACTCGAAAGTATGGTCGTGGGTGGGATGTACGCAGGGGCGGATTTAGTCATCGGTTGGGGTTGGGGCGTGCTCCTACTCTATCGTCTGAACGCAGTCGAAAAAAAATTAGTGGTCTTAAAGATGCAACTGCTTTAATTAATTTGATTGCTGCAAAAAACTTGTATATCAGTTTTAATTAAATCTTAATTTTTATAATTAATTTTTGTTTCATTTTATAGTATGTTAATTATTTGGTGCCTCAGCTCGGAAGGGTAGAGCAATTGTTTATGTGGAAACTAGTTTGTGCTGGTTATAGTTACTCTCTAATGCTTGCTTATCGATGCCGAAAATATACCGACACAAAGCATGACCTCCTAATCGCCACTAGGCGGTTACTTTTTAGTTATTTTGGCAGCGTTTAATTGTATAATTGCAATCACAACATTGTTGTAATTTGTGTGTTCCTTTTGTAAGCAGGTTTTACGCTGCTGAGGTTTTATTAGGACTCGAGTATCTCCATATGCTTGGAGTTGTATACCGAGACCTGAAACCTGAAAACGTATTGGTACGTGAAGATGGCCACATAATGTTGTCCGACTTTGACCTCTCGTTGCGATGTGCCGTGTCACCCACCCTCATTAAGTCATCTTCGTTAGATTCCGATCCTTCCAAACGAGCCACTAATGGTGCTTTCTGTGTGCAACCCGCCTGCATCGAGCCCACATCAGTCTGCATTCAACCTGCATGTTTCCTCCCTCGGTTTTTCCCTCACAAAAACAAGAAGAAACGGACCCCAAAACCCCGAACAGACCCAACCCCGCTATTCGGCCAGCTCCCGGAACTTGTTGCCGAGCCAACCGCGGCCCGGTCGATGTCTTTTGTCGGGACCCACGAATACTTGGCTCCGGAAATCATCAAGGGAGAGGGACACGGAAGTGCGGTGGATTGGTGGACGTTCGGGATATTCTTGCACGAGTTGCTGTACGGTCGAACCCCTTTCAAGGGTGCGGGAAACCGAGCCACTTTATTCAATGTAGTTGGGCAACAGCTAAGGTTTCCGGACTCGCCGGCTACAAGCTATGCGAGCCGGGATTTAATCAGGGGTTTGCTTGTGAAGGAGCCACAACACAGGCTGGGCGTGAAAAGGGGTGCGACCGAGATCAAACAGCATCCCTTTTTCGAAGGCGTGAATTGGGCACTGATTCGGTGCAGTACGCCACCTGAAGTCCCGAGACCTACAGAAGCCGCCGAGCCTACCAGTAAGTTGGGGGCGGTCGAGGCGGTAAGTGGCGGCAATAACAGTAAAAGAATGGTGGGGAACGGGGGCAAGGCTGGCGGTAAATATCTCGATTTCGAGTTCTTCTGAGCCAATCTTTAGAATTGTTATAGAATTGTTGTTGCTGTGTTGTAGTCGCTGACTCTATAAGATCTCATTGTGCAATCCGTTCTTCGTTATCGTGTTATCACCCATAAATTCGTTAAGGCTATTTTGGGAATTTCACTCATATTTACTCACGTTCTTCCCCATTAGATTTCTAGAAATCAAAATGATTAGGGTTTATTATTGGTTGAGGCTATTTTGGGAATTTCACTCATATTTACTCACATCCCCAAATTAGATTTCAAGAAATCTTGAAAATGATTAGGGTTAATTATTGGACAAATTTGCACAATGCAATTTATTTATTTATCGTACGTTTCTTGATACTTTAGATATGATGTATCGAGTTCAAATTACGTTACATTAAACAGATACTTAAATGTTTGAGGTATTACATCTGAAGTATCCAAACAAAGGTTTTGAAATTGCATCAGACAAAATTAAGGTACGTTATATTTTTATATAATTTTCGTATGAATTTTTTGTTGCATTTGTCATATATAAAATATATTATATACTTTTAAAAAATATTCATTTAATGGTTTGTACTTTGAGGTTCTATTATACTCCCTTGGTCCTTGAAAAAATATTCTTATTGAAAATGACATAGCTTTTGAAATATATAATTATTGTACTTTTTTTTTTAAGGGTGTCTCAGCCTATACCTAGACCAATCTTGACAAATTATAAGAGCAAGAAATCAACCCTGATAAACTATGTAACCATAATTGTTATGTATGCTTGGAATCGAACCTTGATGATATTCCATCCCCAAAACCTCAACCACTACGCCACAACTTTTGTGGTTTAATTATTATCCTTTTTAAAAAGCTAAATGACACTTCTATTAATAATAATAGAAAAAGAAACTTTCTTCTCTCATAATTAAGGATAAAATGGAAAATGGTCAAAATGAACACTTATTTTAAGACAAACTAAAATATAAATATAAATATTTAATCGAGGAGGAAGTGAGTAAATATGCTTAAAATAAACCATTGTCAAACCTCCCTTTCCATTTTTTAACTTATAATATGTAATGTTATTTAGAGATTATTATATAGATTATATATAGAGAGAGATGAGGTTTTAAATACAACTTATTATATTTGTACAAACAATGCAACTTAATCAATTGAGATATTTATGAAAATGATGAGAGTTTATTTATTATTATTTGAATATTTATGGAAGATGACTAGGGTTCATTAATTAATGATCAATACTTTATATTAGGAAACAATCAAAACTTTTATGAAATCACATATTCATTAAATTAAATGGATGGTTTAGATTGAGTTGTATTGGTTATACAAATGTAAGAAGTTGCATAATTACCCACTTATATATACAACTTTTTACATTTGTACAACCAATACAACTCAACCTCAGCCGTCCATTTAATTTGATGAATATGTGATTTTATAAAAGTTTTGATTGTTTCCTAATATAAAGTATTGATCATAGTTAATGAATTCTAGTCATCTTCCATAAATATTCAAATCATAATAAATGAACTCACATCATTTCCATAAATATCTCAATTGATTGGGTTGCATTGGTTGTACAAATGAACATGGTTGCATTTAAAATATACCATATCTATACTATCTTATAAAGCATTTGACTAAAACTCTTAAAAACTCTTAAAGACAACCTCTATTGCTAATGGTACAACCTGTTAAAGCTATCTCTAAACCCGTTCACCCATAAACGATTTCATCCCTATCCGATTTCATCAAATACATGATAGACATCTCATTTTAAATATAAAAAATCTAAAATATAATTAGGATAATTATTGAATTATAACAGAATACTTAATTATTATCTTTATAAAATTTATAATATTAAACCAAAAATAAATTATTTCATTATAAAACTTAAATTAAATTACAATAAAAA